CACACAGAGGCACCAATAAATACTTGTTGAATAAATGAACAGCTGGGACTGAATGGGGATCAGGTAGGCAAAGGTGTTCTCCAGTCAGGAGCCACTGACCCTAAAGAGTACTGGGCTGGGGCCCCACGGGGTCCTCAGGGAACTTCCCCGTCCTGTTCTCAAGTCTCTGACCAAGGCCAGGGCCATGTGCCTATCATGCCTGACATCCTGCTTGGGGATACCCTTACAGGTCCTGCCTCAGCCCCAGGCTCCAGGACACCCAGCTCCTTGGCAAGTAGATCCAACAATAACATTATTTACTAGAATCAAACAGTCCTGTACCCAGTCCCTCTCATCAAACCCTGCGAACACTGAGTCGGGTGTCTCGAGAAAAGTCTCCTGTCTCTGCTGAATTCCTGAAGGGTACAGTCAGGTACCTAGCAGCTTCCCTGTCCCCACGCCCAGAGGAGCCTCTCCTAGCTCACAAGAATTCACTGTGGTTCCCGGGAAGGGGCAGGGGAAGGAGTAGGGTGACTCTTCAAAGGACCAGTTTCCTCTGAGAGGCAGAGTGGGGAGGGAAGGCCACCCCCAAGGGAGCTGGGCAAGCCCCATGCTGACAGGGCACAGGGAGAGGAGGCTTTCCCAGGGGATCCTAGGGAGCCAGGGCTGGAGATGAGCGAACAGTACTGGCGGCCCTACTGGGGGCCGCCCATCTTCCGTCCCATGCCCCGCTTCTCCCTGAAAACTACTCCTGGGCAGGGGAAAACAAAGTTGCCAAACAGACCTGGCATGCCTCAGGAGACCCAGGGGGAGCCCTGATAGCGATATCGCCTGATGAGATAAGAAGGCCTCTCCGAGCTGAGTACTCAGGATAAGTGAGTCCAGGCAGCCAGTGCTGCTCAAGGCAGCCAACCCAGGAGCAAGGGCCATTGGCTTCTCGGGCCTCCACCCTGGCCCCCGATTCAGGTGTCTCAAAACCCGCCTCTGACACGTCAGGCAGGACCCTTCAGGGAACACCACATTGCCCCTGGAGACTCTTGCCAGGGATGCTCAATGTCTCCAATGTGGTAGATAGGGGGTCACAGACTGATGGCAGAGAAGCCAAACTTTCCAGCTCCGTGTACCATTTTCTCTATGGGAGGGAGGGTCCTGGGGCCAGGAAGTCCTGGCAGGAGAGGATACCCCTTCCCTAAATGAGGTTGAAAGGAGGCACTATGGAGTTCACAGAAAATCTCCTTAATTACAACAGAGCAGTGCAGGAATGTGCTACCCCAACCTATCCGCCCACCAGGGTGCAGAATGTATACAGCCAAGCCTTCCCCTGAGCAGAAAGCAAAGCAGATTAGATTGTACACACACACTCCTCCCAGGAAAGGCCTGCCAGCTGGGGTCTGGCCGTTAGGCCTCACTCCTGGCTTTTCCAAGGAACAGCAGAAGTCCCAAGGGCCACTGGAACCCGAAGTGAGGTTAAGGAGAGGCCACTGCCCTCTACCTCTGCTCTCCAAGGAGCAACATCCTCATTCTAAAAGTTCTGATCTCCAGAGGCTTTCAGAAATCAGGATTTCTGGACAGAGAAGCCAAATTCCCTCACAACCCGTCAGGCACACCCAAAAGACCCAGGCATCTGCCCAAATTGCCGCAGGTGACCCCACGCTTTCTATGCCTCGTGGGGACACTAAGCAGCCCACCCTCACTTGGTGCCAGCTATGTGCCAGGCCACACGCGTTTATGACATTTTTCATCCTCTCATCAACAACTGTAAAAATAAGCCTTGCTGAGGTTTGGTTAAGTGACAGAGCCAGGGTCATCCAGCAAGAAACCGGCAAGGCACAATTCAAAACTACACCTGAGTCGAAAGACACTAAAAAACTTAATGAGCACTATATCTGAGGAAAGACTGTGAGGCTCGAGGGAGAAGTTTTTTTCTGTCTTATTTTACACTTTCTAAAACACTTCATTTGCCCCAATGGGCTCCTATTGCCTTTTTTATTTTTTAAACCAATGAGGTCATCTAGGATTAAGGGACTTTTTCTTTCTTTTAATGCTATTGTGCATTAAAGCGCTACTAAGTACTAAGTCACTAAGTTATTAAAATTATATTAATCTGGAACTTCCCTGGTGGCGCAGTGGTTAAGAATCCACCTGCCAATGCAGGGGACACGGGTTTCGATCCCTGGTCTGGGAAGATCCCACATGCCGCGGAGCAACTAAGCCCGTGCGCCACAACTACTGAGCCCGTGTGCCTATAGCCTGAGCTCCGCAACAAGAGAAGCCACTGCAATGAGAAGCCCGCGCACCAACAAACAGTAGCCCCTGCTCACCGCAACTAGAGAAAGCCCACACACAGCAACAAAGACCCAGTGCAGCCAAAAATAAATAAATTAAAAATATAAATAAAAAATATATATATTAATCTGCTGCTAAAGGGGATACTCCATTGCCTCAAGGAAAAGTAGGGATGCAGGATGACCCCAGACCTTGGAAACACTGCCCAGTGGCTCCCACAGACAGTGACCCAGTCTAACTTCAGAGAATAGGAGCAAGCACTGGTCAGAGCCCCCAGAGCTAGGTTTGAGCCCTCACTGACATAAGTGAGCACTGGGGGCAGATAGTTGAAGAAAACCAAATCTGAATCCCCTGTGCATAAAATAAAGAAGTTGGACCATTCCCATGCTTCAGCTCACAAAGACCCAGACTGTTCCTCAGAAGCCACTTCTGACTTTGGCTTCCCCTGGGCTGGGCTAGGGCTCTTCTCTTCTGCTGCTCTATTCCTCCCACCTGGGGTTTCCTGTCTCCCTGACACACTCCTCCCCTCCCTGCTCAGAATCCCCTCTGCAGCCTGACAGGACCTTGAGTTGTAAATTCTGCAGAGGCTCCCTAGAGCCCAGGTTAAGACGCCCTGCATCTGGCACATGGATCCCCATGGGAACGGCGCCGAGCCTACGCCCCGCCCACCTCACCCAAAGCTCACCTGTCTCAGGTGAGAGCCTCAGGAGGCCACACCACAGCTCTCCTAGTTACAGTCAGTTCTCCCCACAGCCAAAGCTTGGTGTGTCTGTGAACCGTCCAGCCTGAGCAAGCCAAGAGCAAACTTTGTACACTTTCTTTGGCAAGACGGTATTTTTCACTTCTTGCCAAGCCCCAGTGTCCCGCAGCGCAACCCAACCCCCGTGGTCTTGGAAAAGAGACTGGGTCTCCGTAACGTGCCCTAAAGGTATCCAAAGCCGCCTGAGGCGGAGAAAGGCCCCAAGACCCAAGTCCCTTCCGCGGGCTTCCTGTGTCCGGGGATTAGGAGGCACAAAGGGCCGGCAGGGAGAAGGCCCAGATGGCAGGAGCAGGGGCTAAGCCGCCAACGTAAAGCGCTCCGGCCCCCGCTCGCGGAGAGAGGGCCACTCTGGAGACGCGCGTCGCCTGCCTTTCCGGCCAGGCGCCTTACACGTGGGGCCCGAGACCCGGGGACTCCGTCTCCGCCCGCAGTGACCCTCGCACCCAGCCGGGCCGAGCACCTGTTTCCCTGCTCTCCAAAGCCAACACTATTGTGCAAACCCGAAACCCAAATTCTGTAATCGCGGGCGGATCAGGCACAGAAAAGTTCCCAGCGGCATTTTCTACAGGTGTCTTTCTCCCAGACGAGCGGAGCGACGGGATCCGGAGCGAGGCGAGCGGATCGGCGCGCAGCCCTCCCCGCCCAGCCCGGAGAAGCCAGGGGTCCCGGCCCTCCCCTGCCTCCCCGCCCCGAGTGGCGGGCGCCCCAAGTGGCGGGCGCCCCGAGGGGGCGGGCTCGACTAGGTGGGTCCCAGCCCTCACCTCACCTGGAACTCCAGGCCAGCCCCCGTCCGAGGCCTCCGCGTCCCTCGGCGCCGGCCGCCGGCTCCGCTCGCTCCGTCGCGGGCCCACGGGCTGCTGGGCGGCAGTCTCCTTCCTGCTCACCTCCGGCGCGGCGAGCAGGGGGCGGAGCCGCCTCTATTTACATAAAGGGTGAGCCGGCCGGGCCCGCGGAACCCGGAGCGCAGAGCCCCAGCGGCCCGCCCCCCCCCGGGCCTGGTCCCGCCCCCGGTAGCGCAAAGCCTTAGAGGCCGAGCGCAGCGCGGGCGCCCTCGGGGAGGGCGGGGGCCGTGCTCCGGCCAATCCGCGGCTCCGTGGACCCCGGGGGCGGGGCCGAGGCCCGCGTGAATATGTACGAGGCACTGCCGGCCCGCCCTCGGCCTCACCTGGGCGTACCTGATCGCAGGACACCGCGCCGCGCCCAGTGTCCCGCCGCCTCCCGGAGGAGGAAATAGTTCCCGGAACGCGCGGCGGCCCCGGGCCACCTCCTAAGCCCGGGGAGCGGTCCCTCCCACAGCCTGGCCCCGAGCTGTCCCGTTGGGAGGGGCATAGCCCGGCCGGCTCTTCCAGTCCGTGTCCCTGAGAGCAGACCCCAATCAGAGAGGGTGACCGGCGAACACAGGGCCAAGTTTCGGGACCCAAGAACTAGGTGGTTTGGGGACTGGGGCGTCGCCGAGGCGCCTCCTCTCTGGGCGGCCCCCAAGCCTGGACCTTCCTCCGAGTCATCGGCAGCAACAGCGACCGGAGTTTTCACGACGAGGGAGGGGGTTAGGAACGAGGAGAGACGGGAGCAGAAGGGGCGCGGAGGCCAGGCCCGAGGCCTGGGCGTGAACTGCACGCTCCACCGCACAGCTCAGAAAGACTAGGATTCAAGCCACACCGACACGTTGCCTCTCGGCCGCCCCTCTACCCGGACCTGGCTGCGTTCAGGGAAGGACCAGTGGAATGCCATCTTCCCTCTTCGGACTATCCTTCTGAAAGCCAAGCTAGCTAGAAGTCAGTGACTTCCCAGAGAAAGGGTCGGGTCGCATTCCTTCCCTCCCGAGGGCTGCTCTTAGCTCTAGCACCAGAGGACACAGCACTCTCTGTGGGTGGATACAGCAGGGGTGAGTGCCTGGGGGCCAGTTCCACGGACAATGGGATGGTGGGTAGGAAGGACTCGTCCAGTATATCCAGCCACTGCAGAAAAGGGATCCATTTTTTAATGGCTTTGGCTTTATCGCAAGAAGCAGGCACCCTCTCATTTAAAGGCACGGAGTCCTCTCTTCTGCCCCGCCTCGCTGGTCTCTGAAATCTAGTCATGAGTTCCAAGGGGATTTACTGCAAGGCAGCAGTCTCAGGCCTGGGGCATGGAAGTGCTGCAGCAGCCAGGTAGCGGGGGCAAAGCTCCCCTCTCCTGCAAGCATCAGACACCCAGGGCCAAGGCCCAGACTAGCCTCTGAAGCTACAGGTCAGAGTCTGGGTGTAGGAGGCAACTGAGATGGTCCCTGAGAGCAGACAGTCCGGGTTCCTCAGAGCAGACCCCAGGCCCTGCCAGAGCTGCGTGGTCAGTGCTCCAGACCCCTGGGTAGCGTGAAGTCCCTGAAGCTGTAGAAGGAGATGTCTCCGTGATCCACCAGGGCAAAGATCAGAGGAACATCCCCGCTCTGGTAGGACAGCCGCTTGAGGGTGCAGAGGTCTGGGACTGGCTCATCAAATCTGTGAGAATCAAGGTTAGACTGAGACCTGAACAGAGCCCACCCATAGGCTTTGAGAACCCAGGCCTCTGAGGCTCCCAGGAAAGGGCAATTGTAAGACAGCAGTTGGTACAAGAAGTCTGGCCCCTGGGCTCTCCTGTCTGCAAACTGCACGGCTCTGATTAAGTTGTCCAAGTAACACCCAGAGCCCTGGTTGGGTAAGGGGACTAGGAAGAGTAAGGTTCTGGCCACTCTTGGCCTGGAAATCCCTCTGATTCACATCCCTTCTGCTGGGTGAGCCTGGGACTAAAGTGGCACAGGAGAGAGACTACTCGAAAATGCCAGGAAGGAGAGGTGAGGATTGGGAAGCCTGGGTTCCTGTAGCACTAACTGGCTATGGGGCCTCTCTCTGGACCGCTGGTTCTTCTCAGGGACTGACGAACTAGCCAGGGGCATGGAGAGGAGGTCCAGCTGGTTTACGAGAGAACTGGCAGCAGCCCGGGGGTAGTGCTCACTGGTCCCGTACCCACTAATGCACATCCGGACATAGGGCTTGCCAGGGTTATTCTTTCGGAAGGCGGCCACGGCGTCGGCCTGGTAAACATCAAAGCTGATCTCCAAGCCCCCAGACTTCTCCACCAGCCTGAGGACAGAGTGAGAAACCTTAGGAAACAGGGGCTCTCCTCCCCCATCTTTTCTTTCCACACCACCCTTTCCCTCCCCCAGTTCCTCCAGGGGGACTAAGGAGGGACGGCTACCTTATCTGAGAACCTGGGGAAAAATCTACTCTTGTCTCTCACTCCTCCCTCTCCCCTAGATATACATGAATATTAGCCAGGGTAGGGGTCCCTAGAATGATTCCCCCAGCTCATGCCCAACTTCAGGAGTAAAATCCCAGCTGCCAACTCCTGCCGGCACCCAAAGTACTGTGGAGACAGGCACTACCTGGAAACTCACCGCGCACCTCCATCAGCAAGGTGTGTCGTCTGCAGCACAGAGATATGCTGAAGGACTGTGGCTACAAGGATGGTGAAAATAAGGCGTTGGTGAGGGGAGTCAACCATCCAGACTCCCCCTGACATTTCTGAATCTGCCATCTAGTTTAGGGTTGCCAGATTTAGCAGATTTCTTTTTTTTAGTATAGGTATGCCCCATGCAACTTTTGGAATATACATATACTAAAAAAATTAGTTGTTTATCTGAAATTCAAATTTAACTGCTCTGACAACACTACTCTAGTTACTTACAACTCACCATGTTCCCATTAAGGACTGTAGTTCTGAATTCGTTAACACAATTCTTGCCTATTAGTTCTCTATTCTTAACATGCAGGGCATACAAGAAGCCTTCTTTTTATTTGACCAATATATCACCCCCTTGTTCTCCTCTGACAGAGGTGGGAGAACAGGGAACCACAACCAGTTGGTGGCAGAGCCACTCCACATGCATCTCGTTTATGATTTTAGGGATGTGGTTGTAGTTTTCATTCCTCCTCGCCTCTCCTTGGGCACCGACTTGCCATTTCTAAACCTTCCCACCTGGGTCTCTTTGCTGCCTCCCAGAATGGACTATCCTTGTGGGTTCCACTCCACTGACAGCTCTCTCCTCCCCCATCTTTCTTAAGCCTCCATCAGTTGTGGTCAATCCATGCCCCTTTCAAAGTCTTGTGGCCTATGGCAGGATGAGGGGGTACCTGGGGAGTCTGCCTGACTGGGACTTAGCAAGGGCGTGACAGGCTGGTCCCACAGGTGTGGGGGGCGGCTCTGGGTCTTCTGCAAGTGCCGCCTCTGCAGCAGCTGCTTGTACTCCTGCCAGCTGGAGCAGCGCTGCACCTCGGGATCCGAGTTTACATCCTCCCGGAAGTGCTGGGCCTCCTCTGCCTGTTGCTCCCGTTCCCGCCTGGAGAGCTTCTCCTTCCGCTGGTTTAGCTTCTGGCACCAGGACTCAGCGTCTGTCTCCCGCCCTGCCACGTTGGCCGGGAGCAGCTCTGGGGCGGGGGCAAGCAGGAGGGTATGGCGACTATCTGAAGCCATGTTGGGGAAGGAGATCTGCTCAAAGTTCCAGCGTGGCTTGCAAGCCCCCTTGACCCCGTTCTCCATTTTGCCACTCTCCTGGCTGCACCGCACCCCCTCCCTGGCCAGCCCAGGGCAGGGCTCCAGGGACCCCAGAAGCTGAAAGGGGCCCATGGGGCCCTTTACGGGGCTTGACTCCTGGGATGTCTCCTCTGGGCATCGGCTGTTCTGGTTTCGGGGAGGTGGGCTGAAGGTTGCCAGGCTCTCGGATGTCCCATCCACCCCCTGCAGGGGGTTCTCCAGGGCCTTGGGCTTCTTATTAATTGACCTGAGGGACGTGGGGAGGAAATGCAGCACATCTGCTCCTGACTGCTGAGGTGCACGCGACCCACACGTGCCCTACTGCCTCCCTGAGCCCAAGCCCAGCTCTTAAGCCTGGGCATTCTCCAAGGCCCAAACACCAGCACTCCCTCAAGGCTCTCCCGCGGGAGTGGCCACGTGGGGAGCATTACTGAGAGCTGGAGCTCCTCCTCTTCCTCTTGCCATTCCGATCCTCCAAGCGCAGGACACTGCCATCCAAGTTCAGCTGCCTCTCGTAAGGGGACAGGATGGAGCTGTGGGTGAGAATGGGGCAGGCAACAGATCCACCTCCTCAGTCTGGTGCTCCCCGTGGAATGTGTGGGGGACTGGCTCAGAGTAAGTCATGGGCCAGGGGTAGAGCCATAACCAAGGGCTAAGGCCCCAGGCAGACCTGCACACGGGGTATGTGGGGGCAGACACAGGGGCCTGCCCATGCATCTTTGTCCAGGCCTCTGGGTCTCACCAATGGCACCTTTGAACAGAGGTTCCCTGAAACCAGGGCTCCTGAAGAGCCAGCAATAAATAATTAATCCCTAGTGAGAAAAATCAGGAGGACGAGAAAACTTGGAAAATCAAGAAAAATGAAAATAAAACCCATAGATACTACTGTAACGTTGTTCCTTACAAACACACATACTGTCTTTCTAACATTGTTTCTTACAAACACGATACTGTCTTTCCCCATGTTTCCCCCTCTCAAAAATGACATTGTGCTAACATACTACTGTGTGGTCTTTTTTTACACTCAACAGTATATTATGGACATTATTCATTCTTCCCTGCCATGATTTTTTTATGGCTGTGAGGCTGTACTGTCCAATATGGTAGCCCTAGACAAAAGGGGCTATTTAAGTTAAATTTAAATCTATGAAAATTAAACAAAATTAAAAATTCAGTCCCATGGTTACACAAGCCACGTATACTGGCTAACACAGACACAGACCATTTTTATCACTACAGAAAGTTCTATCAAATAGCGTTGCTCTAAGGGATAAACTTTAATCTGTGTGACCACGCTTTCCCTGTTGAGCTTATGGTATGTTTCCAAGATCACTGATTTCGCAGAGTGATGGTGTTTCATGTAAGCTCCCCACTAAATAAAAGTTCTGTGGGGGCAGTGATTTTGCTCTCTGCTATTCCTCAGCAACCAGCATAGGGCCTGGCACCCAGTAGGTGGTCAATAAATATCGTTGAACAAATGACTGAATGAATAAACACGTTTCACAGGTGAACTTACACACATATCTGTGACTGTTTCCTTAAGATATGTTCCACTTTCAGGAATTAAAGGATGTGCTTGTTCTAGAGCATTTGTGACATACTGTGAACCTGTAAAGGCTGTACCAGTTTCTCCTCCTGAGTCTGAAAGTCTCTGTGGCTCTTAGCTGTGCTGGATTACTAAGGTGTTGATGCTCAGAAGACCCAGAAGGAAAGAACATTTAACCTAGCAAAAGGAATGTGAAACCCTACTCAGCTGTTAATTCCTCACTTGGTCCTTCATTCATATTTTCACTTAACAAATCTGCTTGCACAAATCTGCTACTAAGTGCCAGGCACTGTTCCAGTACTGTATCTCCATTCTCACGCTGAGCTGTAGGTGCTCAGTTGTTATCTGTGGAGTGAACGGGCTGAAGACGGGGCTCAATCTGATAGCCCAGGATAAGGTGAAATGAGCCAGATTTGTCCCAACATGCTTCTCAACAGAGCACCTCCAGCCTGTTCAGAAAGCTGCAGTTCCCCAAGGATTCCAGGTAAGGAGAGGCCACTTTCTACTTTGGGGCCAGTCAGCCAGGTTCCAGGACTAGAATAAATTCCAGGGAAATAAGATAGGGATTTACCTTGCTCGGAATCGTCGAAGCACATAGCCCAGTCTCTTCAGGTGACTGAAGACCTCAAAAGATAAAAAAGTAGAGGTCAGACGTCCAGTTTTGAAAACAAGTAGTTTCTCCAGACAGAAGCTATTCACCACACACCCAGATTCCAAACCCTGGGACTGGTAGGACCATACTCCATTATAAACGCTTTCCCCAAACTAAGGTCTCAAGTCTCTGAATTCCCGTCTCTCACTTACTTTACTGTGGGCACAAACGACATTTAGCGGTTTCTTAATTTAAACACAAAACCCAAAAAGCTAATAATTGATGGACCAGGAAAGAAACTACATCCTAGAATATTCTGATACCAAAGCTGTCACCAGTGAAGCTCCTGACTACAATAAAGACAACATAGCAGAAGGTGGTGGACACCTGGCCGCCCCGCAGCACCTCCATAGGTGGGTGGGATGGGGGCAATAGTCTTTGGATGAACCACATGTTCATCCTCGTGTCCCTGTATCCATATCTGAGAGACGTAGGCAGGAATGCCCCC